GCGGCGAGGCTGCGGCTCCGGCCGGCGGCTCCCGGGCGGAGGGTCCTAGCAGAGGCCGCCGCGGTCTCCGGCTTCAACGCACAGAGACTGCGGGGGAAGAGAGCACTGCGCAAGCGCGCTGCGGCCCCGCTGTCAGTCCGGGAGGGGCGGGGCCGGGGCTCCCGCCGTCTCCAAGGCAACTGGGCGGTGAGCAGAGGACAACCCCTACCTCCACCTCTTCTCGGCGACTGCGGCGGGAGGGGCGGGCGGCGGGAACAGTCCCTCTAGGTCGCCATAGCAACGAGGGGGCAGAAATTGCCTCGTAAATGTGTGGCGGTAGGGAAAGAATGCGCTTACCTTGTCACCATAGCAACTGGAAACAGCCCCTTCCTTTTTCCTCAGCAACAGGGCAACAGTTCCTCCAACCTGTCTAGTCACAGAGGGAACGAGCGTTTGCACCTGATTCCGTCATCGTAGCTGGATGACCAGTTCTTCTCTCTATGGTTTCTGCAAAGGCAAAAGTAAAGACTATTTTATTTCTTCTCTTCCAGCGACGCGGGAGCGCTGAGGCCGCGTTTGATGATCCCTCTCGGTTTGTGGCTTCCAATCACAGCCTTATGATTCTAATCCCCAGATGCAATTTTCTCTATCTGTGTTAGATTCTTTTTGTCTCCTACCAGAAAACCCGCACTTTTCCCCTAAATTGACCTTAACAGAAGTGTCTACCCACATATCACTTGGGTTTCTACCGGCAGTATTGTCCCTCTCCCAATGTGTTCGTAAACAACCCTTGTTTCTTCCTCTGGCCTGCTGTTACAGAGTCTACTTCCTCATAACTAACTCCCCTCTTTGATCTGCCTATTTGCCTTACAGCATTCCCTGTTCCAAGGCCACTTTTACGGGTCTTTTCCCTTTGTCATCCCTCTTCTTTCCATGCCTTCCCTGTACCGCTGTGATCCTTGCCCTGGAAGCTCTGCCCAGGACTCCAGTATGCCCACAGTCAGTGATGGCAACCTTTTAGAGATGAGTGCCCAAACTGCAAGCCAAAGCCTACTTATTTATTGCAAAGTGCCAGCGCTGCAATTAAACCTGAATGTTCAGCTGTTGGGGCAAGGTGGCCCTGTCAGGGCATGCGTGCCATAGGTTCGCCACCACTGCGGACCATAGCCATTATGAATTTATACCCTGGGTCTCTTACTGCTGATGGCTCCTGGATCTCCCTCCCTCAGCCCTGACTCCCAGAATGTCTTGAGGTCATCTTTCACCCATCTTGAGCATACTTTCTTTTTTGCACGTATTCTACAACACTGTCCTTTGTTTACATGTCTGTCTCCCCAGTCAGCTGTGTGTCTCTGATGGGCAGGAATTCTTACTCACCAGCATGTCAGCATCTAGCTCTACCATGTAGCACAGAATGTGACACATAGTAGAGCTCCAATAAATGCTTACATCACTGAATCAAGTGAAGACAGATTTCATTCTGCCTCATTTTCTCTGACCTAACTGCTTCAGACTCTCAGTTAACATTGTCCTTATTATCTACGCACATATTTTGCCTTGAAGCGTTGCTGCTGCTATTATAAACCTTCCTTGCCCTTAGCTCCTGATCTTAATGCCAGAACTCTAGTCACCTATTAGTCAGCAGTCTGGCATTCTGTGTGTCCTGAATCCTCACTTGTTGCTATCTACTGCTTACCTATTGCTATCTTCTCCTCTATCCCAAATGTTTCCTCTAAGGTGGGTTTCCTCACCAGGCACTGGCCTCCCTACCTTAAATCCCTCGGTAATCAATCTAAACTCTTCACAGCATACCATTCATTCTGTCATCTCCAAAACCAGCCCCAATCAAGCCTGCTTGGTGAGCATCACTGAATTCTGCTGGGCTTGTCGATATGCCAGAGATGCTACATTCTCTTCAAGTAACCCAAAAATAAGAATTCACAGCCTGGCACTCTCCTCCAAATCTCCCTGCTCGGCTTCCAGATTCCACTCCAGGACTATGGGTGAAAAGTACTCCAACCCAGTCCATTTTCTCAGGGAAAAAGGAAGAGACAGTGAGAAAAGAGTAAGACACAGCACACACCTAATCAGCAGCCACCTCGCCCATCAAAGCACTTTCAGAAGATAGTTTTGGTTGACAGTAAATCGACAGTTGGAAGAATTAAACCCAGGCTTAACATTTGTTCCTAGCCACAGAGTTGGAAAATTGAAGCTGTTCCTAACTGTAGCTATAACTTATCTTGGCCCTGTAAAGACAAGGAAGAAATTTCAGACTCGGTTTATTTTATGTCCTTCCTCTTTTTGAAGTTCCAGCTCAGCTCCACTGTTACCATTGGAGACTTGAATGGTATAGGCTGCCCTGAGTAATCCTGAGAAGAGATTACAGTCCTTGTGTCCCCTCCCCTTTGACACACATGAAGTAGAGGACCATTCTACAAAGAATTCCTATATTTGTTTACTCAAATTTTCTACAGGTTAAGACTTTAAAGTTGCTGTTTATATAAAATGAGCCAGTTCAACTTAGCGGTGTAATATGACGACCATTTCATTATCTCCATTTCTGTAGATGGAGTTCAAGAAAAGTACAGCTGGGTGGTTCTGACTCTGAGTATAACTGCAGTCAGATAGTGGCTGGATTTTTTTTTTTTTTGTACTTAGGGTTGAACCCACGGAACACTGAGCTATATATCTTCAGTCCTTTTAAAAATTTTAACTTGAGGCAGGGTCTCACTATGTTGCCCAGACTTGCCTGGGACTTGCAGTCCTCCTGTCTCAGCCTCCAGAGTAGCTGGTATTACAGATGTGTATCACCATGCCTGGCTGGCAGCTGTAACTTAAACATCAGGGGCTGGCGAGACAACCCTTTCTCTTCATGTTTGCTAAGAGCTGGTTTGGGCTTTTTCATCATGTAGTGGCTTTAGAGCAGCTGGACTGTTTACATGGTAGTTGAAGGCTTAAAGGAATGAGTATTTCTCCTTGCATCCCTTTTTATAAGCTAGCATCAGAATCATACACTTCTGCCATATCCTATTCATTGAAAAAATACAATGGCCTACTCAATGACGAGCGGAGGAAGCATAGACGTTCATCTCTCAGTGGGAGAAATGTCAATTCACGTGAAAAGCTACCTAATACATCTGTGAATGGTAAACATTGCCAAAGCCGTTATATTATGGAAAATATAATTTGCCACACCTTGCCCCGTGATCACAATTCACAACCCATCCAATGTAAAATATATGCATCTCCCCCTTGAAGAACCTCAAATCTTATTCCATGACAGCATCAGCTCAAAGACAGCATCTCATCATCCAAATCAGGTCCCAGTGTGGATATGGCTCCTTGGGCCCAGTACCTTGGGTCTGCCTCCTGAGTACCAGTCCTCTGATCTGGAGACCTTGGAAGTGAAGAGTTACAGCCACCTACCTCTTACAGATCAGGTAGTGGCCTAGAAATAAAAGTAACTATTATGGACCCTTTCATCTCAAAAAGAAAGAAAACAGAACAGCCACAGAGAGGTTACTAGTTCATAGTAATTCCAAAATTCTGCCAGCTACTGTTACCTGTTACTTGGTTTGGGTTCAGTCTTACTTTTATTTGCTTATATCAATATGGATATGCATTTTTTCGCCATGGGTTATCATTCTTCCCTAGGATTATTTGTTTTGATGCTCAATATGTCACAGATTTGGCTAGTGGAAGAGACTTCAAGCTGTCCCTTTGGACTTGTCTTCGTTATTCTTTGAGCAAACACTTCCTTGCTTTCTGACACAAGATGCTCCAGGCTCATCTCGCATCTTTCTTGTCTAGACCTGGGAGCTAGCAGCTTCTCTGAAGAGCCAAGCAATCTTCAAACTTTATTTTCTTATTGTGGTAAGATATACATAACATTAACCACCTCAGCCATTTAAAAGTATATAGTTTAATGGTGTCAAATGCATTCTTAATGTGTATCTATCACCACCATTTGTCCTTAGAATTCTTTTTAGCTTATAAAACTGAAGCTTTGTCCCCATTAAACAGTAACTCCCCATTCTATCCTCCCTCCAGCCTCTGACAACCACTCTACTACTGTTGGTCTCTATGACTGTTTGGTTTTTTTTGTTTGTTTGTTTTGTTTTGTTTTTGAGACAAAGTCTCACTATGTAGTGCAGGCTGGCTTTAAACTCGCTTATATAGCCCAGGCTGGCCTCAAACTCACAGTGATCCTCCTGCCTCAGCTTCCTGAGAGCTGGGATTAAGGTGTGTGCTACCATACCCAGCTGTCTCTATGATTTTGACTATGCTAAATATCTCATAGAGATACAGTGATAGCACTTATCTTTTTGTGACTGGCTTATTTCACTTAATGGAGTGTGCTCAAGATCCATCCATGTTGTAGCGTGTCTCAGAATTTCTTTCCTTTTAAAGGCTGAACAATATTCCATTGTACATATGTACAACATTTTGCTTATGATTTTGGTTGCTCCCACCTTTTAGTTATTGTTCTATATTTTGCTCTGAACATGTGTACAAATATCTTCTTGAGACCTTGTTTTAAATTTTTAGGGGAGCCAGGCATGGTGGCTCACACCTGTAATCCTAGCACTTGGGAGGCTGAGACAGGGCGATTGCTGTGAATTCGAGGCCAGCCTGAGCTACATAGTGAAACCCTGTCTCAAAAACAAAACAACAACAAAAAACCCTGATTAAATTGTTAGGGGTATACACCCAAAGGTGGAATTGCTAGATCATATAGTAATTTTATTTTTAATTTTTAAAGGGACTACCATACTGTTTCCATAGCACTGTACTGTTTCACATTCCCACTAACAGTGTTCAAAGGTTCCATCTTCTCCACATCCACATGAAGATTTGTTATTTTCTGCTTTTTGATAGTAGCTGTCAAATTGTTGTGAGCTGGTATCTCTTTATAGTTTCAATTTGCATTTCCCTAGTAATTATGAAGTTCAGCATCTTTTATTGGCCATTTGTAGATCTCCTTCAGAGAAATGTCTATTCATGTCCTTTTTTCTCATTTTTGAATGGGGTGTTTTGTTTTACATTTATTTTTGTAGACATTTAGGAATTCTGTATATATTCTGGATTTTATTCTCTTTTCAGATATATGTACACATTTTCTCCTCTTCTGGGGGTTGAATTTTTACTCTGTTGATATTGGGCTGTGTGTGTGTGTGTGTGTATGTGTGTGTGTGTGTGTGTGTGTTACTGGAAATCAACCTCAGGGGCACTCCATCCCTAAACTACATCCCTAGTGCCCCTTTAATTCTTTTTTATTATTTATTTTGAAATAAAGTCTCCCTAAGTTGTCCACGTGGGACTTGAAATTGTGACCCTCCTGCCTCAGCCTCCCAAAGTGCTTGGATTACAAAGGTATGTGCCACCACATCCGGTTGATATTGTCTTTTGATATGCCAAATTTTTAAGTTTTCATGAGGCTGCTTATTTTTTCCTTTTGTTGCTTGTGCCTTTGTCACACTCCTGATGTTTGACATTCTCTTTTCTATTCTCCTCATTCCTTTGCTGGTTCCCAGGGTTCCCATCTCCCTTTTCTTCTCTCCCCTTGAGTGGCCTCACCTAACCCAAGACTGAATCTGTACCTCCATCCTAACCAGTTCTCCCAGCTCTCAAACCCCCATTGACCTCCAGGTAGCTCAAGGCCTCTGTTCCATCGGCACCTCAACTCAGTGTGCTTAATTAAGGAAGTTGTCCTTTCCAAGGTAGAATAAAATTGCTAGATTTTGCAAATAAAAGTGGGGGCGTTCACTGAAATTTGAATTTCATATAAAAACATTTTTTTTTTTTAGTATAAGTATGTCCCAAATAGTGCCTATGCAATGCTAATAGTTTAAAAAGTGTTTAAATTAAAATTTAACTAAGGTGCTACTTAGCTGGAATTCTGCTCTGGGTTTATTTACAGGAGCTTTCTACCTTCCATTTAATACATGCCTATGTGCTGGGTGTGGTGCTGAATCTCAGCACTCGGTAGGCTGAGGGAAGAGGATTGCCAGGCTGGGCTACATAGTGAGTTTAAGGCCAGCCCAAATTACATAGCAAGACCTTCTTCAAAAACCAAAATCAAAGCCAAAACAAACAACCCATGCCTATAGAACTATCTTATGTTAGATTCTACAAAATTGAATCAAGAAGCTGGGCATAGTGGTGCACACCTGTAATCTCAGCTACTTGGAAGGCTGAGGCAGGAGGATGGCTCAAAATAAAATTTAAAAAAGGTACATAATTCAGACCTCCCTGGGTGCAATCCTCATACAACATCAATCAGTAAATCTATTAATCAATCAAGGGCAACTCCTGTGTTTAAAGGAGAGTTGGGGAAAAGACATACTGATAAATATAGTATAGAAAGCATAGGAAGCCTAGATATAAGTTTGGATTTTGGTGTTGGTTCTCAGTTCAAAGTCTACTTTTAATGTTCACTAGCTGTGTAATCTTAGGCAAATTACTAGTCTCCCTGGGCTTCTATTTATTGTGAAAATGGGAATAATAGAATTTCTAGGTGACCAGGGAGGTTATAAGAAGTGATATGTATCTCATGCTTGGCTGTAGAAGGAGCTGAATAAATGTCAGTCTTCCCTTTATAAATAAAAACTGTATAAGAGAGGGACAGCTAAAGGCACTATGGTGGTGATGACCTTTACTGGCTTTGGGGCGATCCCTCGAGAGGTAACACTTTATTTTGAAAATAAAAATAATAGCTGCCACCATTTATTGAATGCTTACGGCACAGCAAGTGTCATCCTAACTACCTGATAAACACGATCTCATTTCGTCCTTATATTAGCCCTCTGAGATATTTCCTATTACAAGCCCACTTTACAGATGGGGAAACTGAGGTAAGTAGCTTGCTGTAGCGTCAGTAAGTGGAAGATGTAGCATTTCTGCTCAGGCCCAACTCCCACCTCATGCTCTTCACACTGCGTTTGGCCACCTTTACACAGACTAATCTCAAAGTCTGAGTGTGTGACCATTAAGAAGAGAAATACAGCTTGTGTCTGCAAAGCAGCAGGTGCAGTTGATGCAGATGCAAAGGCTGAGAAGGGGAAAAAGGATAACCCTGGAGCCGACACTGCTTCAAGCTCATCCCCATTACTCCAAGTCTTTATGGTTTTTCATAGAAAGCAGGGTAACATCTAGTCACTGAGCTAGAGCCACCGGCTCATGGTTTTTCATAGAAAGCAGGGTAACATCTAGTCACTGAGCTAGAGCTGCTGGTCAGTCTGGATAGGAGCAGATTATTAATGTTCACAGGAGGTTCATCTTAAAGCCTTTGCAAATTCTCAATTCATAAAGTATAATGGGGGGGATCAAGTGACTGTTTGACTCTAATGGGGTTTTGGTTATGATTGTTAGCATATACTGAGTACTGACAGCTCATCAGACATTGCTAAGCATTTCCATACATTGTCTCATTTAACTATCATAATTATAGAAGAGGAAAATCAAGGCCAAAGTCACATGGTCAGGAAGTGTTGAGCCTGGTGCTTGTGGGATTCCAGTAGGGCAGAGGGTTGATGCACTTTCTAAGTAAAGACCCACTCACTTCAAGCCATGTCATTAAAATCCATTTCTTTGTGAAATGACATATTGCTTACATGGGTTCCTTGTAAATGTTCAGAACCATGCCAAGGGTTTCCTGTATTGTTGGGCTTGGTCCTATTTTAGTGCTGGTTCCACTTTTAGCAAGTTTCCAATGAATAATGAACAGAGTTGGTAGCCATTACCAGCTTTGAGCACCGCTCCGCCACCTCCTCACAGTCAGGCCAGGGGCACCCTTAAAAACTCCAGCCTAAACTCTAGCGCCTCACTGGCCAGAGTCAACCCCTTCTCTTAGACTTCCTTCATTCTCCTGGCTTCCCCATCCATCCTGAGAAAAGCATGCGGAGGTCCTATTGTTTTTAACTCCTTTTGCCGTCTGCAGCCCTGTGCAAGGTGCTGAGAATACAAAGGTACATAAGGTCCAGTCCTGAGTGTGAGACCTTCTCCTGGGAACAAGTGAACAGTCCTAGTAACACAAAGGGGGCCCTAGCAAAGCGCGCACCTGGTGCCGAAGAGAAAACATGCCTGCTCAGGGCGGGCTAGAGGGAGGAAATCCATACAGAGCCACAGAGGAGCTGCCGCTAACGCTGGTCTTGGAGAGTGGGTTTGATGATGGAGGGTTTGATGATGAAGGGAAACTCCATAACGCATAAACCAAACTGTTTGCGTGGGCAGTTGCAAGTGGTTGCTTTGGTGGTTGATCTCTAGGGGCAGAAGTGTGAGGTGGGGTAGGGTGTGAAGAGTGGAAGGTGAAGCAAGAATGGTTAGTAGGGGCCAGACTGTAAGAGTTTGTCCACCGTGTAAGGGAGTCCAAACCTGTGCTCATCGAGTCAGTGTTTCTCAAGCTTTCTCCCCAGACAGTGGGCAGCACAGGCATGGGGTGGAGAGCATCCTGGTTTGAGTTGCAACTATCTTTAAAAGTCTTATCTTTAAAATCATGTGATTTTTGCATTCTAATTCATAGGCTTGTTCCTTTGAATATAAATTAGGTTGTCGTCCTGACTCTCTAAAACTTACACTTGGAGTAGATATAACTATTCTCTAGCTCTTCCATCCTCTGTACTTACATAAATCGCCCATCGCTCAGATTTGCTTAAGTGGGTTTGAGACGGACAGCTGAAGGAACTCAAGCCAGGGGCTTCTGCAGGAATCTTTACCTTGCAGAAAAAGCAGTGGTGCTGAGGGTGGAGAGACTGGAGAGCAGAGACAGGAGGCGGAAGGCTCTGCAATGGCCCACACCAGAGATGGTCAGGGCGAAGGCGATTTAAAAAAGGGAACAGATGTGAAAGACACCTAGAAAGTAGAACCGATAGTAACAGAAAACTGACCTGGGAGTTGGAAAGAAGGGCTGGTTGAGTTCACTCCCAGATTTATTTCAGAGACAAACAGGGGGAGAATAAGAAGGCAGAATAAGTTTAAGGACGCGAGGAAGGTACCACCACCTGCTCACATACATGACCGTCCTGACGCCGAGCTGCTCCGGGGGCTGGGACCTAGCATGGCCCTTAGGGACGCCATATCCGCTCTCCCTTGAGCTCTACCTGTTCACCTAGGGCAGCGCTGGTGCCCTGAAACCAAAGCAGCAGCCACTGATGAGCTTAAACCTCCACCTGGAGGTCATTGTGCGTACTGCACGGGATCAGAAAACAGCAAACAAGGCAGAGAGAAGGCACAGGAAAGAGCCCTCGCATAGGTGGAAGGGAAGAGTAAAATCTTCCTGGCATTTTCAGTTTGCTGCCGCTCTGGCCGCCTGGGAACTGAAGGCACTCTCCAAAGGAGGTTACTGCCAAGGGCTTCCGTTTCCCAGAATCCTCTGCTCTTCCAGTGACTCCCAGCTGTCCCCCAGACCAGAAGTACTGCCTAGAAATGTCATAACCTGGGTTGGCTGAGTGTTTTAGGGCTCGTGCGTAAGTGTGGTTTAAAACTTTCACCTTTTCTTGGAGGCTTGTCAGACATCATTATTTTCTAAGGGAGAGCAAAGTCTTTGGGGCAAACGATAAAGGGGATTTTAGTCCCAATTCAACCCGAAATTAAGAACTTATAAAGTCTACAGCAAAGTACTTGATATATAGAAAGTGCTTAAAAAATGTGACTTCCCTTTTCTCTCTAGCTGAGGGCTGGGCTGCCTATGGAAATGCCTGTCCTAGCCTTCCTATCTTCCCAGGCTACCTCCAGCAGTCCTGGTTCCTCTGTCTGGGGCCAAGCCCAGGGCAGCCCCTCCTGATAAACTTACCTTCAAGCAAGCTTGACCTACTGCCCTCCACAGAGTCCTCTCAGAGCAGTAAGTTCAGCTTGTCATCATCTCTGGTGGTTCTGGGTTCAGAATAAGGAACTTAACCCACTCTTTTATAGCAGGTTCACTGACTCCCATCGCTGAGAGAGAATTTTCAGGATGTGTCAGTAGGAGTCATGAGAAGGGTTTGTTAGAGATTTAGGGTGCCCTCAAGAGTGAAGCATGGGTGCTCAGAGAAATGAGATGCATTTCAGTGTGGAACTGGGAGGATATCTCTTGAAGGGGAGGGAAGACGGGCAAAAGGGGTCCGCTCTCCAGAAGGGCACTAGCCCCTTCTACAGGTATGGGAATTTTTTTTGGAAATAGGTAATTTAAACATTCTTTGGGTTTGATCAATTGGTCCTTTATCTTAGAATCAGTTTGCTGCTCCTTACTTTCTCAAATAAGCCAATTTGTGGACTTTTAGTATTCCTGAGGATTTTTGGGTATGATCTGTCTGACAGGGAAGTAGTCTGAATTTAACCTAAGAAATGCTGATATGGATGT